AGAGAGACAGAGAGAGACAGAGAGAGACAGAGATAGAGAAACAGAGAGAGCTGCCACCTGTTTTTCTTCTCCCAAAGCTCGAACAGAAGCTTCTGATATGCCGAGTTGCCTATCAAAGTGGATTTCTATTGTCTTGGCTTCTTTCTTACTGATAATAATCGACTCTTTCAGGTAAACAACCAACATCTTCATCCTATCATTTTCTGACAAAAAAAAAAAATGTGTTATATCAGTGTAATGAAAGCTCTTGTCAACTGTTCAGAATTTTCTGCAATGAGAAGATAAGGTCATACTAAATAGAAATGACTTCAGAATTTTTATTCACATTTACAGAAACGTGTGACTTAGAGGCCGATTATTTGAAGGATCTTGTTTTACTGGTAAGGAAATAAATGTCATACTACTCCATGTTTTTGTGAGAGAATTTTTGTTATACAACAGGTATTTTCATTTTCAATATGCTACCGGCAAATGAACAGTCAATTTTTAAAACTGAAAATAACTTAGACCAAAATTAAAATTCAGTCTCCAGGAAAAAAAACCATGACAAGCACAAACTAGGTAGAAGCTAGAGAGAACAGAAAGGTCATGAAGAAGCAGGTAAACCTGAGAGCCAAGTACCTACCAAAGGCAAAAGAAAGAGGAAAAAGAGGGGCCAACTGGTTGTCAGTCAACCAATTGGTTGACCAACTCCACCTGGGTGGTCAAGATGGCAGCCCACTTGAAACCATTGGCTAACCCAAACTACCAATGCCTGTTAGTACAGCACCCACATCAGACTGTAAAGATTTAACACAGAACACAAGAAGATACAACATAAAAAAAATACACAGCACAACCATTTTTATATCAATTATGTGTTAATATCTTTCAGAGTCAGTTCAATTGCAAATTGAAACTAATCATGACTTAATTTAGCTAGTAGAAAATTTCAAGTCCCGCCCCCTGGTGGTCTAGGGGTTAGGATTTGGCATTCTGACCACCTCAGACTGGGTTCAGTTCCCAGTCAGGGAAGCCTCTCTTTTGATTCTTGAAAGATAGCTCAAAGGTCAAGAGCTCATTCTATTCTTCCAAAGGACCCCAGTTCGGTTCCCAGCACCCACATCACAAACACCTATAACTCCAGCTCCAGGAGATCTGATACTCTTTTTTGGCCTCTGTGGGCACCCATATACACGCATGTATTCCTGGACATAGACAGACATGAATGTATCAATAAAAATAATAAATCTTTAAATAAAGAAAAAAATTAGAAAAGAGGATGCCAAATAAGAACATGATCAAAATCTGCTCTAGAATTAACTGAATACTGTAACATCAACAGAAGCAACACCGGAAGCCCCGAGGGAAGGTGTTTATATCACTGTCTTACCCATTATGCTGAACTTGGCCACTGCCTCCTTCACAAGTTGTACGGGCTCCCACAGAGCACTCTTGAAAAGAGACAGGGTGGAAGTCACGAATGGGCAATAGTATTTATACAAAGAATTCCTAAATGCTTAGGGCTGCTGGGATGAGTGAATTTTAGTTACCTCTCTATTATCTATGTAAAAAGTCACGCTTTGGCTTCCTAGGTTGAAATCAATCCAAAATTCCTCTAATTTTTCGTCAGCTGGCTTTCTCATCTGTGGGAGAATTTCAGCAGAAGTTATAAGGAATCTCATGTCAAAGGGTGCAATTTAAATGGCTAACATCCTGAAACAGAACTACCGGCAGCTCTTATTACAGAATCCTGTGCAAATCAGAAAGCGGGTCTTGGTCTCACGCTCCATTCCTGGGAAGATCCCATCATCATCAGCATATTTAATAGATACTTAAATGTGTCACATGACTCTACCCACACTATTTTTTTCTTGGTGAAAATCATGGGGGGAGGGGGAACCTGTTTTGTGCTAAAAGAGTAGTAAACCACACTGAATAGAGATGGAAACTTCTAGCAAAAGAGATACCATGAGGAAACACATGGGACTTTGGTGTCCAGCTTACCGTCAGTTAGAAAACAGCTAATACTGGAGATCAAATTCTTTTTGTTTTTATCATTACATAATACATACTTAGAGGGAAAACTGAGGATTCAAACAATGTAGTGTTCTAGAAAGAGTAAATGCCTTCTCTGCCCAACTCCCCACATGCATCTGTCCAGAGGCTCCACTAACAATGCCTTTAATCCACCCCAGAGGCTTTCCAGACAAATGTCAGGGAGTCCAGGCTGAGCACCACTCATCTGAAATACTTAGACCAGAGTGATTCTGCTTTTGAATGGCTGCATGTATATAAGTCACCTTGGGGAGTGGACTCATTCAGATCGCAAACAAACCGACTCTCACCTCCTGAAGGGAGTTTTATCCAATAGCCCAAGTATACTCGTACTTTACCCGTGTCTTGCATGAAGACAGGTGTGGGATGTTTTAAGTTTGTTTCACATCATAGTGTGTGCTTTCACGTGCATGAGTGCATGTCATGGCATATATGTGGAGGTCAGAGGACAACTTGCAGGAGCCAGTTTGCTCCTACCATGCATGACTTGGGGACTGAACTCGGGTCATTGGGCTTGGCACAAGTTCCTTTATCCTATAAGCCATTGTCATGGGGCATTGGATTTCTCCTTTTGTGTGCATATGTGTTTGGGGGTGTGTGTGTGGATGTGCATGTGTGCCGGTATGCATGTGTGCAGAAGCCAGATGGCAACCATGGGTGTTGAGCCTCGAGTGCCCTCCACCTTTCTATTTTTCAGACAGGATTCTGGCCCAGATTTCTCTAAGTTCTATCTGGCTGGCCAGTGAGTCCAGAGAGCCTCCTGTCTCCTCCTCCCCAGGCCTGGAATTACAAGTGGGGGTACTGCCACTCCTAGCTGCTAAAAAAAAAGATTATTGCTAATGATTAAATCTTCATGCATGTAACTTTTCAAGTTTGATACCATGGAGCACTCAGTAGGTCAGGGACTTTGGAGCATTTTAGACTTTGGGCATCAGGGTGCTCAACCTTATGCATAATGCCTTTATTCCCTCAACAGTGGCTCAAACACCAGACCTACTGTGCTATAACCCACTTTTCTAGTGATTGGGGTTCTTTGGACATTTTTCCTTTCCGTCAGCAGCTACAGAGCTGCACAGAGGTTTTCCCCTCAACACTGACACTAAAAGCCAGTGAATGGCTCAAGTATAAGAGCTGAGATTTAAGCAGCTGAGAGCTGGAAGCCCTGGCAAGCAAGTAATGAAATCCTCAGGCAGGCAGAGGAGGAGGAGGACATGACAGGGAAGCATCTAGCCATCAAATTCAGCTGTGGACAGAAGGAACTTTGGGCGTATGTATTGTAAGTTAAAAGCTCAGCCCCAGAAGCCGTGAAGGGGTCTCTGAACCCACGACAATGAAATGATTGAAGACATTCAAGAAATCTCAAGTGAGTCATGGTTCTAGGTAAATTCGTGTACTTCACCTGGAAGTTGTGATGCTACTTGTTGTAGCCCTTGTACTTCCTTCTAGAAACCACAGGAGATGGGAAAAGAAACTAGTTAGCCTCAGACTCCAGTGTATAAGGTAGAATGGAAGCCCAGAGGTTGCCACCACCGTGTTTGAGCTGCAGTGGCACACGGTTCAGAAAGGTCACTGTGCCAATGGGCCTTGTGCTGTAGAGACCTACCTCCTGAGCATCAGCAAAAGCAGCTAAGCACGGGAATGAGTAGACCCTGCAAAACACCTCACAATTAAAAATCAAAATGAGCTGCAAATGTCTTATAATGAGTTTCCACAACCATGGCATGCTGGAAAGTTCCCTATACACAGGCTATGAGAGGGCTACAGCTCTGCAAACAGAGATCCACTGTGGGTAGATTTCAACTCTCCAGCAGGCAGTTTATAAGTCAAGTTGGTTAGTACTCATTTCAGAAAAATTACTTGGTTCAAATCCTAAAGAACAGAGTGAATTTAGCAAAGACTGTCTCATCAAAGACTTCCCTGTCTGTGATATGCCTATCCTTGGGCACCTTTAGTCTTTTCAAAATGATTCTTCAAGAAATCCAGGAACTCTTAGGATTAGAGAGATGGATCAATGGTTGAGAGCACTTGCTGCTCTTGCAGAGGACCTGGGTTCAGTTCCCAACACCCACATTGTGGCTCACAACTGTTTAGAACTCCAGTTCCAGATCTGACACCCTCCGGACACACATCTGCTATACATACAGAGGTAGAACACTCATGCACATAAAATAAATAAATTTGAAAAAAAAATAACACACACCCATGTCAGCCTCTTGAGTACTAAGATTACAAGTGTGAGCCATTACACCAGGCTCTCCCTAAATTTCTAGTCTGTCTAGTTCTATCAGTAAAATCTTGATCCTATATTCTCTTAGAATTAAAAAGATCCTAGATATTCTTTTAAAATATCAGTCAATATCACATTATAGCTAGTCAATAAGATAATCCCAAAGACACATGTTACCTTCTCCTGTCACCGAGTCTGTTATTCAGGAAATTGAGAAACTGCCGACAGTCCTAAAATAAGTGACACAGGTCTTAAATTTCAAAGCACTCTATCTTGATTGCCTTCCTAAGAACCCTAAGTCTTCACAAGGATTCACTGCTTTATGTTAACAATGCTCTGTGCCCCGGGAGAAGGCTGAAGGTGTGCCGTCTCATTCCCTCAGCATCGCCTTCTCAGCTGAGAAGCACTCAGGGCTCACAAGTCAAATATGTGATAGATTCATTTGGGCAAAAGAGCAAGAAAAATAGATCTCCCTAATAGTTAGGGTCCAGTATTTGACTAACCAATCTAGCATGTATTTCCCTAACACCTGCCTAGCTCGGCTATACAACCTATTAACTTTGGGTGGATTCATGTGGACATACTTCCCATGCCTCTCCTTTGTAGGGCATCTATGCCATATACTCCAAGAGCAAGACCTACCTCTAGAATTCTCCTAAGCAACAGTCACTGAGGCACTGAATATACTGCCCTGACTTTTTAAGGACAAAGAGACTTGGGTCCAGATTTATCTTCATTCTTGTTTCCAAGGACTGGCTGTTGTAGTCAAATGTTTCTCACACTTCAAATCTATATTTGGCCCTAAATAGACATGAGCAGCATAAGGCTTTCCTCTAAAATCAATTCTACAGAGAAAATGATGGACTGGGAGGCAGTTGGACAGATGACTTTGGAAACAAGATAATTATTCTATTTTTATTATCTGTAGAAGCAGATAAGGGAGCATCTGATCACCCACATCATCCCAGGCATTCTCGATTTCTCTCCATAAATTCTGCTTGTGCTAGCTAGTTTATGTCAAGTTGACATAAGCTAAAGTCATCTGAAGTCGTCTTAGACAAGGGGCCCTCCATTAAGAAATTGCCTCCATAAGACCCATCAAAATTTCAGTTTGTCTACTGGCTCAGGTTCTTCTAAAGACACCCTGTATTTATCTTCCCACATATCACCCAGATATGTTTGCAGGCAAGCCTGTAGGGCATTTTCTTAACAAATGATTGATGTGGGAGGACCCAGCCCAGTGTGGGTGGTGCCACCCCTGGACTAGTGGTACTAGGTGCTAGAAGAAGGTAGGCTGAGTAAACCTTGAGGAGCAAGTCAGTAAGCAGCACCCCTCCATGGTCTCTGCATTAGCTTCTGCCTCCAGGTTCCTGCCTAGTTTGAGGTCCTGCCTTGGCTCCCCTCAATGGGCTGTGAATTCAGGATATGTAAGCCAAATAAACCCTTCCTTTCCTGCCCAAGTTACTTTGGGTCATGGTATTTCATCACAGCAATAGTAACCCTAAGAAATTCCTCATTTTAAAGTGGAACTTATTCCTACTTTGTAGTTGAAATGCTAAGACTTCCCTCGTCCATGACCTTGTCTAAATTTATGCAAACATCACCTAAATCAGGCAAGTGGGACTCTAATTTGAGGTAAAACTCAAACTCAAGTTGGCCAAAAGAGCCTGGAGCCATGATCTTTTCATTTAGAACATACGTCATCCTGGCTACACCTCTTCTGTGCATATGGCAGCCTTAGAATCTAAGATACACAATATAGAGACTCAAATGTAGTACAATGTGAATCATTAATAATCCTGACTACACAGAGATGTTGATTAGAAGGCCTCATTTAAATGAACCTTTAAGATGAATTGTACCCTTTCCTGAGACTCTAACCCTGATTTAAAGATATTTTGAAAGGAATAAAGAAAATACATTAGCAACTGTAGGAGAAGGCAGGTACACAATAAAGCTGAAAGCCTTCTTTGTGCCCCTTAGGAACAATCATAGTAAGCTAAGACTTCACAACACACACACACACACACACACACACACACACAAAACCACCACAAATCTCTGTGCTTCCGAACTGCAGCTGTTGGATGGCACACAGCCGAACCATGCTTTGGTCCTCACCACGAGAACACAAATGCCAATGCCAGCCACCTACCATGGTTATAGCTTCTCTCTTCAAGGCTCCAATTCTCTGCTCTTCCTTCTCCAATTGGATCCCTACTCTTCAAGGGCCATTCAAAGTCTCTACCTGCTCCCAAATGTTTCCATTGCCTGGATGGACCCATCAAATTCCCAGTGTCTCCTTAACCAGTTCCCTCTAAGGAAGCTCTATAAGTGTCTTCTCACGTGGTGCCCAGATATTTTGTTTATGCCACCTTCAAACTGTTTCTCTGACATGGGGGAACAGAAAGTTAAGGTTTGCAATCCAATCATACTTTAAGCAGTGAGGGGCTGGGGAAATGGCTCAGCAGTTAAGAACATGTACTGCTTTTGCAGATCATCCTACAGTGGTCCCCAGGTCCTCTGTCAGGCAACTCACAACTGCCTGAACTCCAGATCCGTCTTCTGGCTTCCAACAGCACTTGCGACTGTTCAACACACACATTCCTTCACATATATACACACATAATGAAATTGTTTTCAACCTTAAGAAAATTAAGTCTTTCCCTAAACCTAAACTCCAGGAAAGTTCTGAGAGGACCCTCACCACATACTGACTGAGCAGAGTCTCTTAGGACCAGAATTCTCACCGTCTCAAATTCCCGGTTCTTAATTTCTTGGAAAGCTTCAGCCAGGACAGCATCATCAAACCACTGAAGAGCAAGTTCATTCCTCAGTGTGCCAGTGGTCAGTCTACACAACGCCTCAGCTAGAGCAACCTGCTGGCTATAATCTAGAGATTCAAAACATAGCAGACATGGTCAGTTCCGGGCACAAAGTGACAGAAAATAAGACATTTTAAAGTCACCATTTGGTCCAGTGCTAAGGCACTCGGGGAAATGCAACAAGATGCATTTAGAGTCATTATGACCATCCAAAGTATACTGAAGGATTGCTAGGGGGAAATAAGAATAGGCTATTTCTGAGTGTTGGGAATATTGGTCAATGGTACAATATTTGCCTAGTATGTACAAGGTGCTGAGCTCACTCCCTAGTAATGTGAAAAAAACATATGTGTGTTTACATATAGTTTTAGGTTTTATATTTAAAGCATATTAAAATATCAACTCAGATCAAATAGCCTTAAAATAGTTCTACAACAAAAAAAAAATCTCATTAAAGTTACAGTATTTTTACTGCAGTTACACTACCTGCTCAAATGTTAAATAATTCTTTTTTTTTTTTTTTTTTGTCCTATTGTAGCTCAGCATGGACTCATATTCACTACACAGCCAAGGGTAACCATGAACTCCTGAATCTTCTCCCACCACCTCCCCAGTGCTGGGAGTTTAGACATATGTCACCACAGCTGTTTTATGGGGGGCTAGGGCTCAAACCCAGAGCTCTGTGTGTGTTAGGCAAGCTGAGCTACATCCATAACCTAAAACTCAAATAATTGTAAAGGCAAAAAGAGGGATGTAATCAGATAGACCGACAAGGCAGTGGTCACATGGTTCTAAATCTATAAAACAGTCATGTAATTATTATGCAGATAAAAATTATGTTTGAGAATGAAAAGAACTCTGAGTCAAAGACAGGAAGTGGGAATGTGGACATAGAAAGCTTTATCTGCCACTCTGATGGCTTTTACTTGCAAGGATTTTAACTGAAGCACAGGTAGTACGATATTAAAATGTGACAAAACTGGCCAGTAAGTGTCTGTTAACTATTATGATTTTCAGCAGGCCAGAGTCTCTCAGAAGCAAAAACAAAATCTTAATTTCCTATCTTCAGATGGAACATAATGTAATTCTCATATATCTCCCAGTGTCCGATATTCTAAGCATTTAAAACTCTTAACACTTACCTCCCACAGTCAAGATTGTCCTTGCCAATTCTTTCCTGAAACATTTACATAAACCACATTTTACTGAGATGAACATCAAGAGGTAAAGGCTTATTAAATTAATAAGTAAACCAAGATAAGTATTTTTGAAATCAGTATCGGACTTTCCACAATGTGCATATAAATACCTTTCAATGGAAATTTTCTTCAAGGTCACATATTACTGACCAATATGCATTTTTAAAGTTTTCTTCTTTTAAAATAATTTATTTAATTTTATTTTAGATGTGTTGCTGTATTCCCTGTATGCATGTCTATGTGATTGTATTGGACACCTTTGAACTGGAGTTACAGACCATTGTGAGCCACTGTGTGGGTGCTGGGAATTGAATCCAGGTCCTCTGAAGAGCCAGAGCTCTTAACCACTGAGCCATCTCTCCAATCCCCTGACAGGCATTTTCAAAGAAGCTAGAAGTTACTGTATTTTTGAGGTTCCATTTTTCTCTTTCATGAAATGAGTTTAGCTTCCTAAGACTTGAGGGTCCATTGAATAATCTGCTTCTGAAGTTTGAGGTTTCTTAAGGTTTCTTGGAATTTGGGTAGGGAGGTTTTTGTTTGTTTGTTTGGTTGTTTTTGTTTTTTTTTTTTTAACAACAGGGTCTTACTGTAGCTTAGGCTAACCTTGAACTCATAGCAATCCTCCTGCCTCAGCCTCTACAGGCATGGGCCACCTCTAGCTGTTCTCTTTTCCCCAGTCAGCAGCCCATGGGAGTACACATCTTACATACAGCTTGAATATGATGGAGCTGAGACCTTTGGTCCTGAGCCTCTCCCATGACAAAATCAATGCAATTTTCAACTGACCAACTTAATTTTGAAACATAATGGAAGTAAGCTGTTACATTTTACGTTACTGATACATTGTAATCTTAGATTCTCCTGTAGTGTGCTAGTGTGTATCCATCCACTCTAGTGTGTCCACTAAATACTAAAACACACTCTTCCTTTTTCCTTAATGTCTGAAAATCTTTGTGCATGGCTGGCATGGAGGAGGGTGGCACCAAGGTTCCAACCTACGGCTTTGTATATGCTAGGCAGATACTTCACTCAGCTACATCCATAGCCCTTGGTGTTTCAAGACCATTTCACTATTTAATCCCAAGCCGGCTTTAACCTGATGATCCTGTCTCAGCCTCCTGGGTGACTGGGAGGTCAGGGGTACACCATACTTAGCAAAAATCTCTCATTTTAAAGAATAAAGATGTCTTGTGGGGTCGGGGAGAAAGCTTAAACAGTGAAGAGCATACCTTACAAGCATAAGGGCCTGAGTTCTGGCTACAGAGGCCACATTAAAAAGCCAGACATCTACACCCTCCTCCAGGGTCCAGCCTGGTAAGTTGTCCTCACCACCCCATACTTTTTCTAAAACTTACCATATCTAGCTAGGGTTCCACAGCTGGTGTCCCTGCCTGGTCTGGCCATCCCTTCCAAGCCTGAAGAGCAGCCAGCCTTAGGCTTCCAGAGGGTCCCACACTTCCAGCCGGGCATAGTCCCATTACCTCTACTCTGCAGTCAACTCTAGGCTCGCACTAGGACCCACCTTACCTGTGTCCACCCATGCAGGGCCCTTTGCTCTGCCTCTACCACCCCACTCTCTACTCAGACTTCCCATGTCCTCTTCCGGGGTCTAGCCTGGTGAGCACACCTGACCTCCTCCTTCATGCCTTTTCCACAGTCTACCAGAGTTAGCCTGGGTCTCACAACCCATCAGCCTAGAAGCCTTGCCTGGCTTCCTTTCAGAGGAGTGCTAGGCTTGGGCCAGTAGCCTCGCTACCAATCCATCAAATCACAGAGCTCTCCTATGTCATATGCAACTTTTCCACTCAGACATCTACCCCACCCCAGTCTGGGCTTGCAACAGGAAGCATGACCTGTATGGCAGCCCAGTCCCCTCTGCCTACCTGACTTCATCCCACCCAAGCCACTTCTAACCTCTAGACCCACCTCCACCCCCTCCCCCACACCCCTCTTCTCCTCTGACCAGCCCCATCCACTATAAGCTCAAAACTAACAAAGGAATGCCACGTGCCCAGATCTCATCATAGGAATACCAGCAATACGAAAAATCAAACCAGTGTCTTCTCTCCAACACCCACCAGTCCTATAGAAATGTTTGCAAAGGGGACTGGAGAGATGGCTCAGAGGTTAAGACCTCTGTTCTTCCAGAGGTCCTGAGTTCAATTCCCAGCAGCCACATGATGGTTTACAACCATCTGTAATGAAATCTGATGCCCTCTTCTGGCCTGCAGGGATGCAGGCAGAACACTGTGTGCATAATAAATAAATAAAATTTAAAAAAATCAATGTGGCAAAATCTAAAAGCTAAAAATAAATCTACCAGGTGACCCAGCTATACCACTCCTTGGCATAGGCCCAAAGGACTCAACATCCTACTCTGCAGATACTGGCTCAGCCATGTTCATGGTTGCTCTGTTCACAATAGAGCTAGGAAATGGAAACAACTTAAATGCCCTACAACCAAAGAATGGATAACAAAAATGTGGCCTCTATACACTACAGAATACTATTCAACTGTAAATAAAAATGAAATCATGAACTTTGCAGGTAAATAAATGGAATTATAAAAGTTCCTAAGAGGTAACCCAGAAAGAAAAACATCGAATGGCCTCTCTTGTTGGAGGCTGCTAGAAGTGAATCTTCAGAATCTTCAGAAGTGAGCTGATAGCCTGTAGAACTACAGAAGCCAGGAACTAACATGGAACCATTCGAGGGTGGGGGGAGGGGCCATGAAGCAATAGAGATGGATGGCAGAGTACAAGTGGTCTGCTGAGGGAAATGGGGAAAGGGGGTTCCTTAGGGAAGAGAAGGGAGGGAAATACCAGAGGAGGAAGGAGGTGGATAAAATAAACAATATGGATGTCTGAAAAAGCCACAAGGAATTATTCTATTAACTATTTACCTAAAAAACTTGTAATCTCAGGTCTGAGGAGGAAGAGAGTTTCTGGGGCTCAGCCAGCCAACCTAGCTTATTTAAGGAGCACCAGGGTCAATGAGCTGTACACACATGCAGGTGCACATGTACATACATACACACACACACACACACACACACACACACACACACACACACACTACCTCCCAAAGAAACCTTGCTCTATTTCTCACAACAAATGGATTTGTTACAATTAAATAAAGCCCTAAAAGAGCACCCCTGAAAGTTCTGCTCAATGTTATATTTGTAGGTTTTGCCTCTGACTTAAGTCCAGACATTCCAGACCTTCTAAAAACAGTAAATATGATCACAATATTTGTTAGATCAACAAACAGGCAACAAGAACATAACAGAAAGCAGCTAGGCATCTCCAGGATACATAACTGTTTCTTTAATCACAGCAACTGAATGACCACAGTCTCTTAAGAGTGGCGATTCTTGGGGCTGGGTGACAGTGGCGTGCACCTTTAATCCCAGCACTCAGGAGGCAGAGGCAGGTGAATCTCTGAGTTCAAGGCCAGCCTGGTCTACAGAGCCAATTCCAGGACAGCCAGGGATACACAGAGAAACTCTGTCTCAAAAAAAATAAACAACAAAAAATAAAGAGTGGTGATTCTTACCAGTCAAGACTTTTTTAAATAACTAACTCAGCCCAAGTCACAGCAGGCATAGACTAACAATTGACAACAGAAAGCCCCTGTTCAGAAAAGGTACTTCATTCTGTGGATGGCACTCTGTCCATGGCATGTCACAGGAATGGTCACTGTCACCAAGATGTCCTCCTTGCTGGCTAGCCATCCTCATAGATGTGTGTTTAAGTCCAAATTTCAAAACAGGTGTGTGTTTGCAATTCACTTCACCTTATTTTAAAACTGTATCTTCAAATGTCACATTCCAAGCTCTGTGAAAAATCTCATCTTCATATCTTCAAATATCACATTCTAAGATCTATGTAGCCACAACTTGGCCACTAAAATTAAGAGCGTGAGTGTGTGTGTTGTGTGTGTGTGCCCCCCCCCCACGCCCCTTGACATCCTTCCATAAGTCAACAATGGAGTTCACAATCACATAACCAGCTGAGAAAGCATTTTGGCCCACAAAAGTGTTGAAAAGACAAAACAAACAGAAGAAAACCCTGAATGTTACAAGCATAGTCTGGCAAAGTCTGTCCTTTGGTCTTTACTCCTTCTCAGCCTGATACTTGGTGAACTCACAAGGTACACGCTGGAGGAAGGAATGAAGTAGGTGGTGGACAGAGGACAAAGAAAGGTACAGAGATTTGGGGCTTACACCATCACCTGAGTGTGAGTTCACTTACATAAGACTGCGTGTGCCTTCTGCCGAGGAGAGCTTCCTTCTCTCTTCCCGGGGCACGGCGTCCAAGATGCAGTTCAAAGTGCTCAGAGCCTGCTCAGAATTGGAGTGAGGATTCAGGGAAGAGAAACAAAATGAAACCGCATGCATGCTTTCTCTGAGTTTTCCAGAGCAACCGTTCACTTATGGTTTTGATACAACTCACCTCCTGCTGAATGGAGGGCTTCACGGTGCTTTCTGCTACCAGGAATCCTAAATTACGTATGAAGGAATCCAACATCTGGATTGCCCCTGAAAGTGCAGTTGTCAAAGCATCAAATGGATGCTGGAAAGAGTCAGCGCTGACTCCTATGAGCAGGCAGACGTACAAGCTGGAAGCAGTGCACAGTGCAGGGATGACAGTCGAGGCAAGGGGCAGGTTACAGCCAGCTTTGGGTCACAGCAGCCCCCAGGCTGCCAGACACTTGTTTTTGTAAATACCCACAAAAGACTGCAACAGCAGCCTGAGCCAAGTGTGGGTAGCCACACTGTCAATGCTGTAACCTGAACAAAGCCACTTCCTGGCTACAGTGGGCAACGTTCTGAGTGCAGGCATGTGGGCTGTGCTGTTTACATGGTTTATATGAACTGACACTACATAATAATACAAATATCATACATAATATACAAATTAAATTTGCTATAAGTCTATAGCATTGAAGCAGGAACTTTTAAATAAGTTGGTCTCCATTAATAGAACACAGAAATTTCCACAGCCAGTTATAGATCAGAAAAAAATAGACTGAGAGATACTATTTTACACATAACTAAACGAGAGCTACCTTTTACAGTTTTGTTTGTGGACTTATATTAAGGTAGTAAGTGGAAATAATAGTGAACACCACAAAGAATTAATGCCAGGTCAGAGTATAATTTGGGTGGGTTCAGATGTATCATCTCAACATGTAAGTTATTTGTCACAAAGTATATACCTTTTACCCCAGTATAACTCACACAATTGTGGGAGACCAAACTGGGAAGCATAAAAAAAAACTGTCCACGAGGTTAGACTCAAAGGTTCTACTAAGAGTCCAGCTGGCCAGCAAGACTCTTGGAGGTGTCTGCATGTGTCCCACATACAGACAAGACAAGTGTCGTGGTTTCATTTTGAGACAAGCTAGAGAAAGTGAGAGAATGTGGCCCTGTGACGCAGGAGGGCTTAGATAACAAAGAGGTAGCAGAAAAGTAACTTCTGAGAAATATTTCAAGAAACCTTGTTAAAAAGTGGGAAGCATTTGCCCGATTGTCCTGGAGCTGACAACACAAACTAGGAAATAAATTTGCAGAAAACTCGCATGAGAAAGCACCAGGCTAAATAGTCATAAGCAAGAACAAAAGTGTAAATAAAACTTCCAGCCATTGTAGATACTTAAGTCCGAGGGGTGTAATACATGAGAATCATTGGAAAGATAGGGAAAGCTGAGAAGGCAAGCTTGGAACAGTGAGGCAGCCCCCAGATTTACACCAGCAGGTAGCCACTGCCCACCATTCCCTAATGACCCAGCACTGAGGGTCCTAAGAAGAAAGCAGTCAAGGCCAGCACTACTGTTTGGACATAACACGTTCTCAAAGTCTTGCATGCTGAAGGTTCCCAACTGGTAGTGATGGTGCTATGTGAGTGATCTTGAGGGTGACGACTCCATGGCTACATTAACCTCATTGGTGAATTCACAGCTCAATGGGCTACCCAAGGGCAGCAGGGGAGATCTGGTTGGAGGAAACAGGCCACTGATGGGTGTTCCTTCAAGGGTTACACTGTCCCCAGCCCTTTGTTCTCTTTCCTGGCCACCGTGAAATGGCCTCTCAGCCACATGCCTCTAATATCCTGTCTCATCTCAGGCCCAAACAGTGGGGTCAGCTGACCACAGAACTTCTGAAACTGTGATCCAAAATCAACTGTTCTTCCTCATTTACATTGATTTCTCTCCGGTGTTTTGTGATAGCTACGGGGGGG